TTTACACTCGGTATCTGATTACATCACAAACCCATACCGTTAATCGTGTGTGTGCTTCGCTTTGCCTGTAAAAAGATCCCAGCGCAGTTTTAACTTGATTCCGCCCCCTCCCCACCGTAAACAATTTATGTTACAGCCAGAGCGAGCCGACTCGGGTGAACTCTTCCAGCTTAGATCCCCAATCCCCGCCAGTGCTAGCTGCCTAGACGTGGGGTTCCTTTTTTTTACGTTGGGCTCTTATTTTCTTGCCGGTATCCATTAGCCTTACAACAGTTAACCAAACAAGAATGGATTTTGGCTGATATCGTTGACATTAACGGTGTAAACCCATTACGTTTACATTTGCACCAAACAAAGCGTTTTATAGGTGGAGACAAGCGAACGGCATGAATAAGAATCATAGCATTAAGTTTAGGGTACAAGATGCTCATCAGTGTAGCTAGCAGTGCGTCGGAGCTTTGATTAATTTTTACAAAGCATTTGACAAAGACCGTGGATTGGGATAGACGACGGAGCTTGTAGCCTTACACGAAATAGCTACTACCATAGTTGCAAAATGGCAAAACCTGGAATGACTAGCATAGATGGCAAAATGATTAATGCTTAAGTCCCCATCTATAGCTCATCCCTGTGAGTACACCAACTCATCTTGCTGGTTTAATTAGGGTAGACGATCCCGGTCGTGGGTGCTTTCATAGGACCCACGTCGATCTTTTTCGTGGATGCAATAATGCATGCACGGTAAGTACTATAGAGAGGAGAGGCATATATATCACAGCCAAAAAGCATGCATACATGTTCTACTCCAGTGGAGGTCCACAGCACCAAGCATATACAACAAAACAAGACCACGAAAGCAAATGCCAACCACCCACAGGTCATAACCGCCGGCATTGAAAAGCAATGGAAGATGAGATGGAAATTAAGTGGCCATGCATGCATGGTACTCCCTCCGTTCCTAAATATAAGTCTTTTTAGAGATTCCATTATGGACTACATACGGATATATATAAACATATTTTAGATTCACTCATTTTGCTTCGTATGTAGTTCCTTATTGGAATTTCTAAAAAGACTTACATTTAGGAACGGAGGGAGTAGATAGCCGAAGATCAACCGATCTGCAAGGCCTCAAAGAGCAATCCCCCTTTGATCCTTGTCGACCAGATTAGGGAAACCAATGCAGGCCTCCTTTATTCATCTTTAGTTTGCATACAGTGGTATAGATCTGGCCCCCAATATTCAAAATTGATGGCCCCATATACATGTCATGCTAAATCTACCTATCTTCCTTGTCTCTCTCCATCAATATTGATGGTGCCGAATTACACCAAAGTGACAAACAAACAAGCTGCGCCGAGTTACTATCTGACCAGCTGGTCACTATATTCCATCTCATTTGCACGCCTCCGGAAGTTCTTCTCTTTCCAAGCCTCGGCTCCGCCCCAATAATATGCATGCATGCCAACACCACCCAAAATCTTTGCATCCAAGTCCCTTGTCAGAAGGAGCTGCCAGAGGCGAGTTGGTTCGAGGAGCCTTCTATGGTGAGTTGAAGTGGCAACAATAATTCCCGGGGAACAGAAGACAAATGTGAACATTTGTTTATGAGGGCAAAATACTAAATTTCCTTCCAGCTAAGCCCTCTACTTTTTTAGGGGAAAAAAGTAGAGCCAGCTAAGCTCTCTACTTATTATTTCAACTACACTAAACAAGCAGCGCATTGAACGCGCCGGCCCACAGTGTTAATTTTGCACAAAAAAGGCAAAACACATTGATTTGGAAGCGTTACGAGATTTAGCAAGCGTTCACTTACGCCAATGCAATTTACGAGCGAGGCCAATCAACAAACAAACAGACGTACAATTGCATGCAATATTTCGACACCATAAAAACAGGTAAATTGCAACTCTTAAACTTCAAAACAAAATGTGTGCTTAGATAGATTACTACTTTTAACTCTGAAGCTAGCTACCGCATTTCTATAAGAAATCTCCTACGTGTAGTTCCCGCGTCCTGCTAATTAGCACTCATGTTGGCCTTCAAAAGTTGGGCTGCCGTGTTATGCTACTTCACACTCGTGTTCACGAGTTTAATTTACTCTTCATTCTTTTCATGAAACCTCGATGCTGTCTACGGCTCAGCCCGGTAACTTACCCGACATCCTTTGTTCTATTTGTTCTAGGAAACTGTTTGCTTTTATTACTCAGAGTATTCAATTATGTCCGTTAGTTCCAGCAATTTTTTTAAATTATGTCCTTTAGACTTTTGTTTTTGTTGCTCTGAGGTCATCTTATTTTACATCGGTGTCATGATCCGCCAAGTCCTACAATCCCCCTGTTTTTACGTGCTAAAATTATATATCTTGTCTATGCAATTATTTTACCATGTTTTTGTGTGTTTTCCTTATTAGGCAAAAAATGTATCATGTTTCAGGGCAAAAACATGCACTACGTAATGTTAGAACTGCTGACCCTGTCAGTCCCATTTCGCTGCAAAACGTCCCACTAGAGGGGGGGGGGGCATAGGCCCCCAACTACACTAAGCTCCACCAGTGGTGCAGCACCTAGGCCCGGGTCGCGCACGTACGTAAAACAACTAGCCAGCCCACACTCCGGGGGATTCGACCAAGTAGTGCATTGAACGCGCCAGCCCACCGTGTTAATTTTGCACAAAAAAGGCAAAACACATTGATTTGTAAGCGTTACGAGATTAAGCAAGCGTTCACTTATGCCGGTGTAATTTCCGCGCGAGGCCAATCAACAAACAAACAGACGTACAATTGCATGCAATATTTCGACACCATAAAAGCTGGTAAATTGCAACTCTTAAACTTCAAAACAAAATGTGTGCTTAGATAGATTACTACTTTAACTCTGAAGCTAGCTGCCGCATTTCTATAAGAAATCTCCTACGTGTAGTTCCCGCGCCCTGCTAATTAGCACTCATGTTGGCCTTCAAAAGCTGGGATGCCGTGTTATGCTACTTCACACTCGTGTTCATGAGTTTAATTTACTCTTCATTCTTTTCATGAAACCTCGATGTTGTCTAAGGCTCAGCCCGGTAACTTACCCGACATCCTTTGTTCTATTTGTTCTAGGAAACTGTTTGCTTTTATTACTCAGAGTATTCAATTATGTCCGTTAGTTCCAGCAATTTTTTTAAAAAAATTATGTCCTTTAGACTTTTGTTTTTGTTGCTCCAAGGTCATCTTATTTTACATCGGTGTCATGATCCGCCAAGTCCTACAATCCCCCTGTTTTTACGTGCTCAAAATATTATTTTACCATGTTTTTGTGTGTTTTTCTTATTAGGCAAAAAATGTATCATGTTTCAGGGCAAAAACATGCACTACGTAATGCTAGAACTGCTGACCCTTTCAGGCCCATTTCGCTGCAAAACTGTCCCACTAAAGCAATTGTAAAACTCCTCTCTAACCGTCTTAAGCCTCTCTTCTCCCTACTTGTCTATGGTGACTAGACTGGGTTCATTAATGGGAGAAGCATCGCCAATAATTTCATCTACGTAGCTGACCTTATTAGTTGTTGCCACCTCTGGACAATCTCCACGATGATCATAAAACTTGATTTCTGAAAAGCGTTTCACTCCATCTCTTGGGACTCCCTTCTAACTATCTTGCACCATTGGGGGTTCTCCCGCAACTGCTCTAGGATTCAAACGCTTCTCCCTTCCAAAAAATGATAGTTCCACTCAATGGTGTCCCTGGGCACTAGATCAACTGCAAAAATTGCCTTCGACAAGGAAACCCTCTCTCCCCTTACCTCTTCATCATTGTGGCAGATCTGCTGCAACAACAAATCTTGCAGGCTCACAATGTCCACTGCTTTCACCATCCTCTCTTTCAAGACTGTCCGCCATCCATGTTGCAATATGTGGAAAACACTCTCATCACTTCCTCTGAGGCCGCCCATATTCTTAAAAAGATCCTAGATGAAACTTCGCCCTCGCCACTGGGGTTGCCATTAACTTCCATAAGACAACCTTTGTTCCCTTGCACCTAGACCCCACCATCGCTAATACTATCGCTAGTACCCTTCGATGCCCGATCTCCTCCTTCCCCCAAAACTACCTTGGCCTACCCCATATAACCGCCACCTTTTACTATTTTTTATCTCTACATGTTTTAGTAGATAAGTACATGTTGGAAGCTCTACCTCTATAGCAAATTGCACTATAAAATATTAGTACCACATGTCTTGCAGTTGATCTACAACTGCAGTGGGTGCACTATGCCGGGACCTAGGAGTGACTCCATTCAGCATGGTCTCTTTTGGTAGTTATGCATGTGTTTCAATGTATTTTTGTTTGATATGGAGCTTCATATTGTAAATGGATCATAATTTATCATTTCATTTTCATTGCACTCTTTGTATTTTTTTAATACAATACACATGCCGTGGGACCTTCATAATTAATTTTTTTAATTATCTAAGTGTACATACAAGCGCCTCTCCATTGTAGATGCCCTTATGTATGGCATATTGACATGCATGGTAACTAGCGTAGCCTAATAACTGGTAACTGCTAGTAACTTTTGTGTAAACAACATGTTAACTCATGTAAGACATGCATGATAACTGGCATAGCCTGATAACTTTTGACCCCAAAAAGAAGTCATCAAAACATACCAACATAGAGTCTACTCCCTTCGTCCCATAATATAAGAGCGTTTTTGACACTACCGTAGTGTCAAAAACGCTCTTATATTATGAGACGGAAGGAGTAGTTTCGAAGGTCTCATCATGAATTTAATGTTGAAAAGACTTAGAATCACCTATGGGTTGAGCTACAAAATATTTTAAATTTTTTAGATGTGAAAGAATCTAGAATGACATCAACTTTTATCCTAATGCATGCATGCATGTGCATGCGGGGAAAAGAGGATGATGAAGAAGCGTTTGTATCTATCCCTAAAAACATACCATAGCAACAATCACCAGTTAGTGATGTCCTAAATATAAACATTATGGATTATGCAACTATTTTTTAAATAACCGAAGCTTGTTAGAACGACGTTCTGAGGTGAGGTCACATTCACGGAGCCACGTACTGTCGTACACACTCTCAAGATCATTTTTGTTGTTTTTCTCCTGGTGCACGATGCCTTCCTTTTGCGGGAAATTTATTTCCATCATTGTTATTCCTTGTTCACATCCAACTACAATCCTGCATGAATGGGGTGTTCTCATCAAATAAAAGTAAGTTTTTCCAAAAAATGCAAAAGAAAAATATATTTTTCA